GGAAGAAGAAAAAGGGAAAGCTGAAGTGCAAAAAGAAAAAAAACGTAGAAGAAAAATAGAAAATAAAGAGAAATGATATTATGAAGTGGCTTCCAATCTTTACAGCAGTTATGTTACAACTGTAGATTTACCTCTTTCTCTAAAGTTATATTGTGACTCTCTTCTTTCTATAATCTATCCTACTGTAAAATAGAATTCGTCATATAAGTGTCTCTAATTTCTTTTGACAACCATTTTCAGTTCAGGTAGGCATGCTATGACTTGTCTAATGCATATTTTATAGATTGTGACTTGATGCAACTATAGCAACACAAGGCAGATTTTCATACAATGCAGCTGCCTTAGGCACCATTTTGCTGTTTTGTACTTAGGCTTTTCCAGGAAAAGCATGGGTGAATGTAAGCAGTAAGAAATTTGATGTAGTTGACATAGAACCAAGGAACAGATATGAAAAGGGTGAACAAGAATTCCTAAGACCCTGGGACTAAAATGAGTGAGTTGTAGTAGCCCACCAAAGCAAGGCACCCCAAGTCTGGCTAGACATTGCCATCCACTTTCATATTTGCTTAACCAGGTTGGATCACTTAAGGAGTAATACTGCATAATTTCCATTATTGTGGGAAAGTTACATTTTCAAGCATTAAAAAAACGTAGGGTAGAAAAGTGGGGAACTGTATGTGTACTACATTATTCTTTCTGCATGCCTGGGTGCTTCATGTGTGTCATGGTAATAGCTATATAGGCATCTGAAGGTAACATAAGGTTTGTAGAAGGAAACCAAAAAGGGATGGGAAAAAGGCTGGCCGTGAGACTCTGAAAGATGAATATATAGAGAGAAAGCATCTTTAAGATTTAAAAGATGGCTGGAATGACCTGGCCAGGCCCAGAGTCTCCAGGATTTCATGGAGCAAGGAAGATGTTGTCATTTTGATATTTTTCTTATCGTACTAAGTGCACATGGACTACCATTATAGAGAGAGAAGATTTGTTGATGTTCAGTCGTTAAGTCGTGTCTGACTCTTCGTGACCCCATGAACCATATTGCACCAGGCCTTCCTGTCCTTCACTGCCTCCCTGAGTTTGCTCAGTTTCAGAGAGAGAAGATATTCATGCTAAAGGAGCAAGATTAGTGGGTGTTGACGGGAGGTAGGGTAGGAATGTAGGCGTAAGGTCCTGATTGATTTGTTGATGTTCAGTCGTTAAGTCGTGTCTGACTCTTCGTGACCCCATGAACCATATTGCACCAGGCCTTCCTGTCCTTCACTGCCTCCCTGAGTTTGCTCAGTTTCAGAGAGAGAAGATATTCATGCTAAAGGAGCAAGATTAGTGGGTGTTGACGGGAGGTAGGGTAGGAATGTAGGCGTAAGGTCCTGATTGTTACAACAATGCAAGAGACATAAAATGGATTTATTCAGAGGCATGGAATAATGTTGGTTCCAGCTCTGGAGCTGGTGTCAGTACTACTCTGATACAAGGACCAGCAGTGTGGTATTTGCATGTAACAACACAGTCACAGTACCCCTAGATAGGAACTGTGGAGACCCAAATTAAAAATACACTTTATAAATGGCAGAAACCTCACAAGATTGCCAGACTTCATGACAGTTCAGTGTTCTCAAGAAATCTCGCAAGATATCAAAAGAAATAGGAGATTGCAGAAGCAAGACCACCAGAATCTCTCAGTAGATTTTGGACATTTTAAAAATGTGTTTTTGGCAACCATGCAGTTGTGTAAAATTGCACAGTGGCACCCATTGCCTGAAAAGAACGCTCACTCCTGCTGTAATGAGAAGGGCAGCCTATCCTCCTTTTTTCATTATTTGATGGCATTCAGAATGAACATGCATGCTTACAAAAGCAGCAAGTTTATTAATTTATTTAAATTTATTATAGCTGCCCAACTTCCATGGACTTTACAACCCCCTCCCCACCCAAAATCCATAAAAACAGATAAAACCTAAAACCACACAGACAGCCCGGATTAAAACAATGTAAAAATGACACAAACAAAACCAAACAGGCCCCCCCTCAAAACAGCAATATATTAACCACAGGCCTGGGATCAAACCCAGATTTCAAGTGCTTTCTGGAGCCCTTGGAGAGAGGGCACTTTCCTTATCTTGCGGAGGGGGGGATGTTGTTCTAGAGGGTGTTGAAAGTTGAAATAAATCTTCAGAATTGGAGTGAGAGAAGAAGACTGCTTTGGACAACTCTGATTTTCTGCTGCTCCTTACTTGAGGCACACATTGCATGCTTTCTGAAGCTAGATTAATTCTGGAAAGAATTTCTGGATGTACTTTCAGCAGTGTTCCTTGTAGTTAGATTCCCTCCAACTGCCAATTATGTGCAGGTCTTAGTTGTTGTACTATAACGATTTCTTGCAAATAAGTGTGTGTGAAAATTGTCATCAGCTGGAGTAGCATTGGCAAATTCTGATGGGGATTTACTAAATCAAAGCTAGGGGAAGATGACAAAAACTTTATATTTTCTCATATCTAAGAAGAGCTGCCTCATCCCAAACCTCTCTAGAAAGCTGACTTACATCAGGCTAGACCAGTGATCTGTCTTGTCACATTGTAATGTCTACACTGGTTGGCAGTACCTCCTTAAGGCTGCAGATAAGAATCATTTTGAATCTTACTTGGAGATTCAAATATAAGTTAATATAAGTTTCATGTATATTAATTATGAACTCAGTCTGAGATAAATAGGACTACAAGAAAGTGGCATCAACATGCTTGGGGAAAATCAAGATTTGCAGAAGTAAAATAAAATATTTGGGTGAAAATGAAAGGAACAAAAATAATACAAATGGAATATGTCCATTGATCACAAAACTCAGGATTCTCTGGGTGAAAAGAAAAAGCAAACTGGGAGAGGTATGTAAAGAAGGCATGGTTGGATGAAACAAAAACAGGAGCACTTCATACAATGCTAGAGGTCTCACTAGCATCACTTAGTACTATATCACTAAGCTCCAAGCCCTACCCTTTCTCTTGAAGTGTGCTTCTTCCTTATTGGGAATAACAAATCCAAACTTTGTTGAGCCAGAGCTTTTAAACCTGTGCTTGGTACAGTTTAATTACCAACTTTTAATGTTCTCTTGGCTTCACAACAGCAGATGCTGCTGTTACCTGACGCCTTTTGGGCTCAATTAATCCAGTGAACACTTAGCAACTTCTAATTTCCATGTAACGTTGCTATGAAGTTAGTCAATCTGTGTCTTGTTTTTACAGATACAATCATGTCTACTAAATGCTTTGGCTTCCTGCTTAATCTCCTCCCCATGTATGAACATGGTTTTATCTGGCAAAAGTTTATATTGTGCAAAGTCTTTGGACTGCTTACCTTAGAAAACCTGTTCTGTTGTATTAAGTTCTTGAAAGAGCCAGTTGAAACTTATCGTGCTGGATTGAAAGAACTGTTCAAGGCTCTGTTCAAGGCACTAGTTTCTTAGGTACTTGCCTCTAAACCACTCTGATTTTTGTCATATGCTCATTACCTCTTAAAATTATCTAATACACTGATAACTGTCGTCATTACATTTTTAAGTTCCATGTTAGGTATTAAAAAAATGCAGGCATTACGGAACAGATATCTAAGGGATAGATTCTATTACTTGTCTCCACTGGGTGTATTTGATTGAAGTTGCACCCTTATTTTCCTGAACCTATGGCAGAGATAATAGCTTTATTCTATGACTACTGACTGTTGGGGAACTGCTTGTTAACACATATAAAGCCCTTCATGGCATAGGGCCAGGCTATTTGAAGGGCTTCCTGTTTCTCGCTGTTTCTGTCCATCTGGTAAGATTCAGTAGAGTGGGCACACTCCAGGTCCCTAATATCATCTAGTGGGACTCAGAAGGCAGGTCTTCTCTGTCAATGTGCCTACCATCTGGAATGATGCCCCCCCCCCCAGGTTCTGGATGGCACCCACCCTGAGGACATTCAGGAAGCTCCCAGGCCTTGAGGTAGGTTGAGGGTTGAGCGCCTGTTGGATGGGTTTTTGTTTATATATTTGTCTTTAGGCCACTTATGTTTTTTTTCTTTTATCTCTTTTTAAATTGTAAGCTGTGCAGTCATCAGGAATTGAGTGCCCTCCAAATTGCAATATAAATAAAATTTGTTACAATTTTGTATTTTATCATCATTATTCTTTTGACCTTTACCTTTAGTACTAATCTGTTCTACTCTTGTTTTACTATTTATATTAACAGTGATTAGCATTTAGATTGACGTAGCTTTTGTGGCTTGAAACTGTCTAGTGTATTTATTCAGGATGCTTGATGCACAAAAAGCTCTTTGTGTCAATAGCATTTCCTGACATAGGTCTCTCTTTATGTCTCACTGAATGATGGAAATTGAGCAGTACATCCAATGGGATTCCAGGTTGGTGAAATCTGATCTAGAAACATGTTAATCTGTACACAACCTTTCCACAATCTCCTATCCTCCAGATATGCTGAAACTCTAACTTCTAGAATTCCCTGGCCAATAGCGTAGCTAGGATACAGTGGGGCAAAAAAGTATTTAGTCAGCCACCAATTGTGCAAGTTCTCCCACTTAAAAAGATGAGAGAGGCCTGCAATTTTCATCATAGGTATACCTCAACTATGAGAGACAAAATGGGGGGGGGGGGAAACCCAGAAAATCAAATTGTCTGATTTTTAAAGAATTTATTTGCAAATCAAGGCATTTTGTCTCTCATAGTTGAGGTATACCTATGATGAAAATTACAGGCCTCTCTCATTTTGTCTCTCATAGTTGAGGTATACCTATGATGAAAATTACAGGCCTCTCTCATTTTGTCTCTCATAGTTGAGGTATACCTATGATGAAAATTACAGGCCTCTCTCATTTTGTCTCTCATAGTTGAGGTATACCTATGATGAAAATTACAGGCCTCTCTCATTTTGTCTCTCATAGTTGAGGTATACCTATGATGAAAATTACAGGCCTCTCTCATTTTGTCTCTCATAGTTGAGGTATACCTATGATGAAAATTACAGGCCTCTCTCATTTTGTCTCTCATAGTTGAGGTATACCTATGATGAAAATTACAGGCCTCTCTCATTTTGTCTCTCATAGTTGAGGTATACCTATGATGAAAATTACAGGCCTCTCTGAATCTGCAATAGGCAAGCAGCTTGGTGTGAAGAAATCAACTGTGGGAGCAATAATGAGAAAATGGAAGACATATAAGACCATTGATAATCTCCCTCGATCTGGGGCTCCACACAAGATCTCACCCCATGGGGTCAAAATGATC